CAAGCAAAATTAAGTATAATTTAAATACAATATGTTAAAATTTTTGAAGCCAATTTAAAATATTCAAAGTAATATACTATTATTTAGTGGCGTATTTAGTGTTAGAATTCTTATAAAATTACAACTACTCTTTTTGTCATTTTCTTTATCGTTAAATTGTAGTTGAGTTTTAAATATTTCTTTCATTTTGTTTAAACTATGTATTAGTATATTTCTAAATAATTGCAAACTCTGAACCAAATCAATAATCCCACCAATTGTGCCTGGTTTATAAGGAATCAAAATATTAGATAGCTTTCTTAACCGAAAAAATGGTTCAAATTTCTGATCCAAAATAAAAAGTTCTAAGCTCGTTTCTAAAGAATAAGGTTATCTATTAAAATTTAATAAAAAATGTTACAAGTGACAAGAAAAGATAGAAGCAGACCATGAGCATGAATTAAAAAGATGTTAATTTCTTTAATAATCTTAAAATTTGGGGTTTCAGTTGAATAATTTAAGTTGATAAAATTTAGAGCATCATCCAATATATCTTTTGCACATTTTCCAAGTTTAATATGATCGTCGGATATGTGTGATTGAGTTTGCATTGTATTAACAAAAGGTCCATTAGAAACTTCGCCAAGAAGAACTTCCCATTCATAAATACCACTTTTATGTACTCCAAATATATTATTTTTCTTTATTGGACCTTTAGAACTATTTCGTCATTGACTTGCTTTGCTTGCTACATTATCTCTGTTTAAATCAAAAATAAGTATATCAAAAAATATATCTGATTCTTTAAAGAAATTGACCTACCATCTAATAAAAATATCTTCTTCTAAATCATAGGTAATATATTTTACTATAGGATCCAATACATCGTGCTCCCATATTGATTCATTTATCGAGAGACTTTGCATTTTGTATTCTGGAGTTCTTCATAACTTTAACCTGATTATAAATCTCAATTATTGTATCTTATAGTGATAAAATTAATATTCCGAAAATACGCATATAGACTTAACCAAATCTTTTGTGTTAGAAAATAATGATTGATTCTTGTATTCCTGAATATTTACAGATAGATTTTGTTGTACTTCTAGAATAAATTCGATTAATCTTTTGTCTAATGATATGTGTTGAATTTGCTCATCTACTGCTTTCTATAAATTCATTTTTTCTAATTCTTTTCTAATTAAGGTATGTCTGACAATTATATTTTTGACATCCAATATTCCAGACATGAGAAGATCATTTGGAGTGATAGAAAGTTTATTAAAGACTTGGCTAATTGTTTTGCAATGAGATTTACATTCATATGTTGAAGCTAATCAAAAATGAAAATTTAAATTAATATAATTTCATAAATATAAACGCTTGAAATTTGATTACCTTTAAAATTATATTCTTAGCATTGATGAATTCAATAGATTCATAGATTGTTTGGTTCAAAAGATCATAAAATCCTAATTTTTTTGAACAATTTTCAATATATATGCCATATAGTATATATAAATTTGTATTTTTCATTTTATTGACTATATTTCAAAAATCGCTTAATTCATCACTATTAAATAAAATTAAGATTCAATAATTAATATTACTTTTTAAAAAT